GCATCATCTTTTAGTATTTTAAATAACTCAGCTGGAATACTGTCATCTCCGCTAGCTTTGTCATTAGTAATGCTTCCTAAGGTCCACTTGACTTCATTCTCTAGGATGTCCAGCTCAAGGTCAGTGACTTTTCACTGGGCCACCACCAAATTGTAGTTTGAGAATGCCCTGGTAGCCTCCATGGGCAAAGGCTGGGTTTAGGAAGACTTAAATGCCCCATGCTTTCAGGATTTGAGGTCCTGTGTGGCTGCCACTGACACTTTTAAAGTCTTCATTGCACTCAGTACATTGCTTGCAGTCATTAACACATTGATTCGTCTAGTTGGGCAGACAAGCAAAAAAGAGAAGGTAATTGTTTGCAATCAGTTTGTTAATAACCTATATAGTTTGGCAGACAAATGGGAAAAAAGCCAATCTTCTCCAGCAAACTAATGTTAGTCATCAGATCCAGGCTTTGGGGGAGGTAGGAATGTGTGTCATCTACTGACCTTGACTGCTCTTGAAAAGCTGAGCAAAGTTAGTGCTTGAAAGGGAAACTGTTAGGAAATCTCAAGGCTGTAAACTAGACTGGAAAATAAACGAAGCAAACAAACAACCGACAAAGAGGAGGAGGAGGAGGCAATGGCAGAAGATCTCTAGCGTTGCCATGAAAACTACATGGACATGTCACAGGAGTGCAGCTCTCCTCAAAAGGGGCCACCTTTCAGGGATCACTACAAAGGGATGTTGACATCTTTTGGTGTGACATTGTTCAGGCTTCTGCAGCAACGCAATTCCACATATATGCAAACAGGTTCTGCTGTAGAATCAACCTCCCAAATAATTATTTTTGAACCATTCAAGAAAGGAAGCAACCAAAAGTCCAAGAAAGGAGGAAAACAACCCTAAGCATATCCTTTCTCACCACACCTATTATCCAACACCCAGATAACAGGAACAATCAAGGATGAAACAATACCTCATTCAAAGAGTATTTCAAGGAAGAAACAACAAGGGCTTTATAAGGGCCAGTTCATTCCTCCCCAATCAATCAGGGCAATTTGGAAAATGCTAAAAGTGGCACCTAGACAATACCATGCCCCCATTTTCTTGCAGTCAAGCAAAATAATCCCTCAGCCATTGGGTAAGGGTATGACAAAGCTCCAGGTTAGAACAGCCAGGAAGCAATGGGAGGAAAGCAGCAAGGTGCCATGTTGCTTTCATTTTAGGAGAACAGGGAGGAAACACAGAGAATCTTTTTTGATTTGATTTGATTTGATTTATACAGCCACCCATCTCACCTGCATGACTTTGGGCAGCTTACAATTAAAACCAACTACAGAAAACAAATACAATTACAATCCCTTAGATACTAATTAACAAAATCCACAGCCAAGATCTGAAAAAACAATCTACACTCAGCATAACAATTGTATGGGCTCTGTTGTTGTTTAGTCATTAAGTCGTGGCCGACGCTTCGTGACCCCATGAACCATATTGCGCCAGGCCTTCCT